TCCCCCTTCTTCTGTCGTGAATTCATCTGATGCACTTCTACTCGTGGGATTAGCTGCGTCTCCTCGGACGTGAACTTGGTGTGTACTTGCACCACCAGGGCTCTGTGATCAACTGCTCCCCCTATCACACAGCCGTCGACCGTCCACGATTGAAGGGAGATGTTTGGAAAGTTGTCCTCGTCACTTGGGGGGTGAATAGCGAGAACTGCGTCGAGTTTGGCTTCTATCAGTTCTTGTTTGTACCATGTTGAGAAGGTAAATGTTGTCCCAGTCTCGCTGATCTGTTCATATGAGAGTGTACGGTGTGCGGAAAGGTCTGCCAGGAATTTCTCGAATCTCTCATCTGCTTTTGCGGTGATAGATGAGGGGGAATATCCTCTCCGCATTGGTGTTGTTGTGTTGGTTCTTGCTGCATTAAAGTCTCCGGCTATGATGTGTGTCTCTCTCGTTCCCAGAGCGAGGTGTAGCAGCTCTGCCCACAGTTCCCCTTGCTCTCGAATCGCATTTTCCGCAGGTACCTGATGGAGGTTTGTGACTAAGAAAGAGTTTTTCCCTGTTCCGACTTTGATCGAAAACACTCGGTTTCGATATTTCTTTTCTTTGTTGCACGCCTGGTGAGCGGCAGGGGAGGGTGACGGCGACAGGGCCGCATGTACCAGCGTTACCAACCTCAGGTCTCCTTTCCCCTTCTTCGCATTGATCTTTGCAGGCCCCAGGAAGATTCTGTAGCAGGCCCAGTTCTCCTTGATCATCTTCCTCAATTTGTTCTCGTCGCGGGCCGAGACCCTTACCTCTTGTAGTAGCACAACCCCAGGTTGGAAGGACTGGATTAAGTATGCGAGGATGTGCTTGAGAACAAAGTGATTGCAACCATTCACATTTTGTGAGATGAGGAAACCTGGGTCTGAACTTTTTCGATGCATCTGCGCCCAATCATTGCCCCTTTGCTCCTCCTGCCTTTCCCCCCTCCGCTCCTTCCCTCTCTGGGAGGTTTTCTCCCTAAACCCTAAACCCTAAACCCTAAACCCTAAACCCTAAACCCTAAACCCTAAACCCTAAACCCTAAACCCTAAACCCTAAACCCTAAACCCTAAACCCTAAACCCTAAACCCTAAACCCTAAACCCTAAACCCTATTATTATTATTATTATTATGTGAGTTTATTATAATGCTAGAATGTTGCTCGGCCTCGTTGTGGGCTTATGCAAATTGATCCTAGTCTAAAGAGGCGCTCGAGCACTGGGAGTACACGGCCTACAATGCGAACCCTGCTTCTGAGGCGTCTTTCTACTCTGTACTTCTGCTGTCTTCTCTTGGCTTCCTCAGCCTCAGTCAGGAGAGTTGCCTCTCCTCACCTTGGCCTTCGGTCACCACCTACTCCTCCTCCATTCAGCTTCCTCAGCCTCAGTCAGGAGAGTTGCCTCTCCTCACCTTGGCTTTCGGTCGCCTCCTACCTTCTCTCCTTACCTTGAGCTCAGCTCAAGCTCGGTACGGGCTCGCCCCGTCTTCTTCCTCGGCGCCCTCGCCTTGCTCTTCCTCCATGTCTTCCTCTTCTTCGTCATCTTCCCTCATCTCCACTCGCAGTCGGTCCTTCTTGTCCACCTTCAGCGAGCAGGCCAGCACATGCATCTCTGCGAATTTACTCAGTGCTATGAACAGGAAGCTAAGAGATCGACGCTCTATGTCGTCGCTCTCCGCCTCCTGCTCAAGCTCAGCAGCTGCCGTTGCCCGTGGCGAGAACGCGCTGCCCCTCCTTGCCTTCTTGCTCTCTCCTTGCACGCGACATGAACTCCCTAAACCCTAAACCCTAAACCCTAAACCCTGGCATGGTATCCATGCGTAATGTATTCGTGATGAAGCGGTGAAAGCGGGTGGATTGATACATTATTGTGACTTGATGTCCCCTTTTGACTCTCATTTGTGTGCCTTCCTCGAGGGAAGGAGTAAGCCAGTTGCGATCGTATGTGCTCGAATTATACTGCATTTCCCATTGATTTTCATTCCTCCTCCTGACGTCATCGCTTGTTGTTGAAAGACATATCCTATTCGCATGGATCTGTTTTTCCTGCTTTGGATAATGTCTCCCTCAATAGCGGCAGCTGTGAAATGCCTTCCGCCGTTAGGAATGTGTGCCTGACCAGTATGCATAACTCCTCTAAAGTTTTCATCAGGCAACGGTTCCCTGTTCGCCAAAAGTTTGCTGCGCGCGGAGTAAGCTATCTGTGCGCCTAAGTTTCGGGATCCGGCTGACTGATGATCAAGTTCAAACCCTTCTGGTATCTCCTAAACCCTAAACCCTAAACCCTAAACCACTAATCTTGAAAGATCGATCGTGCACGATGCTCACATGTACAGCTGTGAACTTGCGACCATCGATCATGAAGCCGGCGGCCCAACTGTGACCCGGGCCGGCTAAACCCTAACTTCCATGACTTACAGTTTACCGAGTCAGTGTACTTGAATATTGCTATACTACTAAAAGTTGAACTGCGCCCGCCGGGATGCGTACCGTGGCACTGACAGTATTGAACAATTATTATGTCTTGTCCCGAGTCCGCCTCTCACCATTCCGAAGTTCATTTTTTCTTCTGAGTCACATACAACTTAATTATAAACAATAATCCAGTACTGATTTGTACCAGGTTTCAAAGTTTGGAAAACACTCATCATGATTTGTACTGTCTTCAAGTGTTCCTGGTACCAATATTTGTAACAAAATCTTTAGTCAATATGAGCACTCACCACTTCCTTCAAGGACCCACAGCGACATGACGAAGTTTTCAGACAGGAGTAAAGGAGCTCGGTTTTACTACGAACATGCACGACATATCCTTGATGACACCACCCCACCCCCTTGGGAAATGTATCCACAAGATGGGCAGTAAACTCGGGTCCACCTATAGGTTGGCAGTGACTTGGACGGGTGACAGTACCCACCATGCACCGTCACCATGCACACGCTTTTACTTGATCTCGTGATCGCCATTCACCTTGCAAGGCCCTCATTTTTCTCCCCCATCCTCGCATCTCATCCTCGCATCTCATCCTCGCATCTCATCCTCGCATCTCATCCTCGCATCTCATCCTCGCATCTCATCCTCGCATCTCATCCTCGCATCTCGTCCTCGCATCTCATCCTCGCATCCCCTTGCGGTTTGTCTTGCTTCACCCAGTTCCACCGATACTTCCACATTCCAAATCCTAGAGATTTGAATCCTCTTCCATGACGAAATCGACATCTGGTCATCACCGCCCACCAGCTTTAGATTGTGCTGCTGTGACGAGCACTGCCGAGAGCTTCCAAGGCGAGGCCGCTAGCAACAATCAGACCGAAGAAAGGGCTTGGCGAGACTTCCATGACCTCCATTCATACTGTGCACGGAGACACAGCGAAGTCTTGATGACATGCGGGAGGTCGCAGTCCTGGATCGCGCAGAGAACATATGCCACAGAAGCGTTAGTGTCGGACAGCAATGAGGATCAAACAACTGCAGTTGATTCCCCCAATTCAAAAACCATAGATTCAGCAGGGAATTTGCTCAAGAACAGAAGAGGAAGTTATGCCACTGTTATAGATGCAGTTACCCTCAGTCCGCATAATGGATCCATTGATCAGGACGGTAACTTCTCCGGCAGGACGAAAGAAAAACTTATTTTTGGGGAAATGGAATAAGTACATCATCTCATTCGTATGTTCTTAATCATTTTGGTATTACCATTCGTGATACAATAAACAAAACTGAATTCGAGATTCATCATAAGAAAACGTGACTCCAGGCACGGTTTTGGCTGCTTGCTCAAGAAACGCAGCAAACACTGACTGCTAGTCTGTTTGGGTCTGACGAACTGACCAATTCGAATTCCTGTCAAGACCAATCAATGCAACCCTTGCAACTCATCAAGCAACTTTTCACCTGAGATGTTGTACCATCCTTGCGGAAATTTTGCAACCGTTCTGCAAGTTCAATTGTCGCATACTGCATGGGAGTGTAGCCAATGCTGTCTTGAATGTGTGCAAGAGCCGGAGGATCAGACTGAAATCTTTCGATGACTCAATGATCATACACAACTGAGTTCTTACCTGCATCAAAATTCGAATGATTTCCATGTGCCCGTTTCCAAATGCAAAATGCAAAGGGGTCTGCAAGCAATATTTATGTCAAAGTGCAGGCAATGTTTACATCAAAGTGCAAGCAATATTTATATGAAGTGATCCACCTCCCCGTCTTGGTTTTGGGCATTGATATTTGCTCCAGATTCCAGCAACAAATTTACGACTGCTTGCTGCCCAAAACAGCACGCATAATGTAATGGCCTCCTGCCAAAGGAAACATTCATTGGCAGGGGGTGACCAACCAAAAGAAGACAGAACCATCCAGAAGCATCTGATACATCGACATTCATCCCATGCAAAAGGAGCAATCTGACAACGTTCATTTTTCCATGTTTTGATGCTGTGTGGAGGCCAGTGGATCCGTCTACGCTGTACCTGTTCAGATCTACGCCCTGGAATGTGTTGTTAAGAACGGTAAAGTCATAACAGTGATTCGTGACTGCAGAGTTATAGAAGAAGCATACACACGAACCTGAGAGATCAAAAAGATTACAAACTCTTCTTGGTCATACTCGCAAGCATATTTCAGTAGCTCATGGGCTGCTTCTGAATTGGGATTGAAGTGAGCGCCACCAACTATATCGGAAATCGTTGAAATTCTGAGCGTTTCAAAATCAAAGGCATTCCACGCAATATCACGGGTTTACATGTTGAAATGACGCTCGCAAGATACATTTTTTGGAGGCTCGAGAGGTTCCTGCGTGTACAAGAGGTTTTGCCCCTGCGATAGAAGGGGAAAATTCAATTGAAACAATTCCCAATCATTTAGTCCGTCGTTTTACCTGCAGCACCATTCGAGGTCCTTCGGAAACGCTGTCATGCCTGCCGTTGGCTGCAATCAAGAACTCGGTGACCTATATACATCGATTTAGTAGCAAAAGGACCCTCAGGGAGACTCGACCTTCGAGTAATGATCCCTGTGCAATAGAAAGAGCCAGGACCCGCCCTCATTGTCGCGGATGTCAATGTCACAACCATAAGAAATAAGTGCTTGAATAGCTTCTAGGTTCCCGACTTCCGCTGCAACATGAAGAGCGCTGTAGCCCTTGTTGTTTCTTGCCTGTAGATGTGCTCCTCGTGATGCGAGCTTGTTCATAACCTTTGCGTATCAAAGTCAAATTCAAAGTGTAGCTTTTGGAAAACAATGTAGACATGGGATCCTGGATATCGAATGGAGTAGTGCAGCATGCTGTCTCCGTTGTTGTCTCTCGCCTCCACATTAATCCCTGAAAGCTAAATGTGACATCTTGTGCTGTCCTATGTGTGTATTTCGTTACCGTGTTGTAAAAGAATGTCAAGGACATCAAGCTTCCCATACAAAAGTGCTGAAATCGATTCAAAACAGGACATATCCAACCATGCCTCACCGAGATGCCCGGCACTCTCTCCAAGAAATGTTTTCGAGTCCACTTGAACGTCGTAAGTGAGCAGATGTTGGACAATAGGCAAGAGACCATGTCGAACTGGATGTGATCAGCACGATATGTATCATGAACCTTATGTCAAAATGTAGCATACCAGCTACATGAAGAGCAGTGTAGCCAAAATGATCTTTCGCCTCTCGGTCACTTCCAGCTGATATGAGGTAAGACACAATCGAATCCTGCAGAACATATGATTGGAGAAGACCCAAAAAGAATCAACTTGTTCAAATCGTGCAGCAACATGTAAAGGAGTCCACTTCTCACTCGTTAAGGGCTCCTTCGTCTTTGTTGAAATCCCCCTGAGAAAGAGCGTTTTGGTTATGAGTTTCAAACGAACTGAGAGCAGCAAATCATAAGGTGCGCACCGACGTTGGTCTTGTTCGTACTTTGCTCGATAGTTTCTTTCAAGAACTTCTAGGAGATCTTGGAATCCAAATCTATGGTGGGATTTAGGTCCAGAAACGTAGAGATAGCCTGTTGCCCACCGACAAGCATAATGGATCGGAGACCAATTGTCATTGTCATTGATTGATGGATCAGCATCAAGGGATTCCATTAGAAAGATTGCGGCTCGAACACTCCCATACATCGCACAAACTGATCAAAAGCACTTATCCATCTATGCTTACGAACTTGCAAGGATTTTTTACCATGAAGAGGAGTTTCTCCGAGAAGGCCTTGCGCGTTTGGATCAAGCTTGTGGTGTGCGCAGATCAACTTCATCACCCGTTCATGGTCATGTTGAGCAGCCACATGGAGAAGATTCCAGCTGAAGCACCAGGATCAGCAGCGTTGATACACCAAGGTTGTGGCATCACCCGGAGGGCGAGACAGATTTCAAAGTCTCTTCGTCTTGTATCAATACCGATAATGTCTCCAAATCAGCTCTAGCTGCAGCATTGTGTGCAGACTGTGCATTCATGGACATGCCGTTTGAAACTTGAGAGACCACAGTCACTGACAATGTCGAAAAGCATGCTGCATGACAAACGGGTTTACCAGCTTTGCATGTTTCTCGACTCAATCCGTTATGCAGCATCTTCTCCCACAACAATTGTCTTCCTTGACTTCATTCTCTGCTTTCCCATCCCTGTCCTGCTTGAGCAGTCATCCTCCCGTTCGTCCTGTCGAGCTTTCCTGCGCTGATTACACTCACACGGTCACCAGTCAAACGAGGAGAAACACTACAAACCCGCCTCAACAAAATACTAGGAAACAGAGGAGGCAGCAAAAAGCGCTACTCTCACCACTCAATCAAACAATTCTGCACTCTAAGATCGTTACGGCAGTTACAATGTGAACAAAGGGGGCCAAGCCAGGGGCCAATCAATGCCGGAGCGCGCAAGGCACGAGAGCGGAGGAGGCGATGGCGAGAGGCGATGGCGAGTGGAAGTGTGGCAAGGGATTCCGCAAGATGCAGATGTAGAGATTGAAGTCAGCGAGGGTAGATGGCAGGACGTCGGCTGTGTGGCCGCGCAGGGTGACGGTAAACAAGTTGTTGTGGGTGGTCCGCGTTGGGCCGGCGTCGGACCAGACGAAGAGGAAGTGAGAGGAGAGATTGTAAAGATCTCGTCAGGTGAATCAAACTCATCTCAAGGTTGGGCGACGATGATTGGAGAATCCTGTGGAAGCCTTGATTTTGACTTGTGCTGTGTGCGGTATGGTTTTGAAGTCAAGGAAGGTGCGAGAGTAAAGGCCATCAGGAAAAAGAGAAGTATGGTAACAGGTGCCAACAGTCGAGGCAAGAAAGGAAATGCAGCAAACGACGACGCATCGCTCTTACGACAAAGTGTTCGCTTTGTGTCCGGCTTGAAGTTCTCGCCCCTGGAGTCCGAGGAACAGCTTCTCCAGAAGTCGGTTCTTTCAGTCCTCAAACATCTGGATGGTGCCGCGTGCAAATCTGTTGCTCTCCCGGTCTTGGGATCACAACAATGGGGATTCCCTCCTGACATCAGCGCTTCTCTCATCATTGATTCTTGTGTGCTCTTCCTAAAACAAGCAACAGCTCTTCAACGTATTGTGTTTATCAGCAACGATATAAAAGTCGTTACCGAGCTACTGAATAAGTTTCGGCGAGTCTTTGGAACAGAAAGTATCTTACAGGATGCAGTGAAGGCCGAGGTCAACTTGTTGTTTTCCTACCTTCCTCTTATTTCTCAATCCTACAACCAGGAGAGTAAAACGTTCAAGAATGCACAAGGAGTGGAAACCCGAGGCCCTTCGTTGATCGACGTGGATAGGTGAGGTCGAAAAGAGCCTCTGCTTAATTCGTCTGATTTGCTGCACAGTGCAGGCCAGGTCATTCCTTTCGTTTGTTCATCAACTCGTGATAAACTGTTGGTCGAAGATTGTTTCCAAACGTCCGTGTCCGAGAACGACTCCAACAACAGTGCAAGATTTGAAGCGAGATGGGTATCAATTTCACAGCTCGTAAGTTCTAGGATGTATTTGTATTCACCAGATCACGCCAATCTCCTCTTCACAGCGGAGCCTTCAGAAACAACTGGGTGCGCGGTGTTGATCCTCCGAATCAAGAAACAGCAAGAACTTTTGACCCTCGGGGGGACTGGAGAGGCGGCAGCTATGGAACAAAAGCATCGGTCGAATGCATCGTTTCATTCTATTTGCCCTTACATGATGCAATCTAATCTCCAGGTACCAGGAATAGATCTTGAGGAGCAATCGAGTCAAAACAAGAAGAAGAAGAAGAAAAAGAAGAATGCTCAAAACTCAGGTTTTTATCGGTGTGGCTTATTATAAATGCGAATTTATTCATCTGACGGCAGGTACGATTGAATACTCCTCTGAGGAGGTGGAAGAATCAAAAGAGGAGATAAATAAGCAGCTTGACGACAAGCTTGACCCTGTTCGTGACGAAGGCCCCAAGGAGTACAAGTCCCTTGAAGAGGTTCCTTTGTTTGTTTATTCTCGCTATGGTTTTCTCTGATGTAGGAGGATTTTGGATGCAGGTCAACAAACGGATCAAAGCTGTTACGAAAAAGCTGAAGCAGGCTCAGCAAATATCCGCTGACATGCAAAACGGCACTCAGGTCAACGATGATCAGAGGCGGAAGGTAATATAAGCTATGCTCATACAGCTCATGACAGATGAATTGCCAGGTTGAATCAATTCCTCTCATGGAAGCAGAATTGAATGAACTCCAAGACAAACTGCAGACTCTGAATGTTTGAGATAAGGAAGATTTGACTCCTTTCATTAAATCCAAACGTGTTAGTTATTATTATCGACTGCTTGTTTTCAATCGGCATCCAAATCAGGATGTCGTGAATGATGTCGGAATTGAATGCATGCACAATATGCAAACAAATGTTGCCATGCGACGTAGTTCAAGAGTCAGCATTCTTGACACATTTTGACTTCTGCAGCGTGCAATCTTCATCTGACCATCCTTCATAATCACCCTGTCCTGCCCGGCAGTCGTATAAGGAAAATTCTTCACAATTCACCTCTCTAGGTGGGGAATCAGCTTTCGGGGTTGCAACTTCTTCAGAATGAATAGTGCGATCTTGGGAGTTCTGTGCATGTGGGGCACCTTCCTCCAGGTTCAATTTCTTTGCCTTCTTTTTCTTGCTTGCCTTGGCTCCCTGCAGCCCATCTTCCTGAAGTCTGTTTGCAGCTTTGCCCTCAGGCGCTGACGCATCATGTTTGCTGGAAGAAGCTGACTTTTCTATCTTGAGCGCTTCATCCACAGGCTTGCTTTCCTTGATTGTTACCTTTCGCAGATTTTCTGGCTTATCGTTGGCATCCTTGACTATCTGGAGAGCATCCAGACTCTGCACGCTTGAATTGGAACTGCCATGAGACAAGAATCTATTGATGTTTCCAGCGATCCGCACAAAGAGGTCAGTGAGGACTTTGGACAAAGAATTCCATGCTTCCAACAAATATTCCAGGGTGGGGACTTTTTTGACAAGAGATTCACTTGCACGTCCACCAATCAGCTCAACCATACCCTTGTCGCTATGCAAAACAACAGTAACCACAACTCCACCGATCATAAGTAAACATATCAGTTTGACAAGGGTAGCACAGATTGAACCCCCTTTGCTGCCATGAGACTCACGCTCTTCAGGTCCACCAATAGGCTTATCAGGAGATTTGGATACACCTTGTGCAGGCGCAGGCGCGTCATTTCGCTTTCTATTTCTGAGTTCAGCTACTCTGGGAGAAGATGGAGAGTTTCGAATTGGCAACGATGCTGTCGGAGATGGTCGTGCTGGAGCAGTTCTAGATTGATCTTCCATCCTGGGATATTGCTGCGGAGGCGGAGGAGTTGTTACTTGCTGCGGGTGCTCGTCAACGTACTTCTTTTGCATCAGCTGAGCATAATACTCCTGCATCCAAGTATCGTCATCCCACTGATCCGATTGTGGTCGTGGAGTCCATCCTAGTCTGTTTGTCATGACATTGAGGATTGTTTTCTTGTTCACTTGACTACTAGATTTGAGCTTTTTCGGCAGCTTATCATTGATAGGTAAGCCGGTCAAAGGGCAAGCAGTCAACAAGGCTGGTTCAGTAGCCTTCCTCTTCGACATTTTCCTCCGCAATCAAGAGCTCTGTACAGCTTCAGAAGTCCGTGAGAAGGCCAGACAGAAGTGCACTCTAAACCTCGGAAATACCTGAAAAGCAATCTAGAATCAGGGCGCTGAAAATCTAATCAAGTACGCGCTCGGATCTCTTGTGTACATTAGGGAAAATGGGAGCTATCTAACCAAACATACCCTATCGGAAAGAAACCTTCATGAAAGCTTACTACGATCACTATTTGATGTACATCGTCGTGGAAAATCGCCTTGAGAAGAGGAAAATCTCCTTCGACCTCGGAGAACGGAACACTCGAGATACCTACTCCAATCTGCACTTCACCTTATACGATCTCAAATTTCATGGACAACATGATATAGCAGTACTTGATCGCTATCTTTCAGTTTACAGTCGTGATTATTGTTTCTCTTCCATTCTTCTTTTCTGTTGTCTCCTAGCTCAGTTTTCAAATTTTGTCTTCACAGTCTTTGTTTCGTCCTGATACTGTTATTCTAGACTGTTCCAGTCCGCTGCTATAAGACCACATCATATCATCATTTGAAATTCATCATCGCCGCATCTCAGTCATGCTCTCTCGCTCTAAAAAAACACTTCTTCCCCATCACATTGCCTCGGCCATCGTTCACGCGCCCGCGGCTTCCCGTCGACGAAACGACTACCCCCAGACCGGTTCCTCTCCATGCTCCAGGTACTACCCTACCCCGTTTACTACCACCCCTATTTGACCTTTTCCGAAGACGCAGCACCCCATTTCAACCCCAACGCTGCTCTGACCACCCTTATCCCTCCCTCTACCCCTACCCACTAGAGGTAGCCATGTGAACGACCCCACACATGTAGTAGGTTTTCCGTCGTCCACCCACCCTCCTTTTCCTTGGGGATCAAGTCGATTTTCGACCCTCTTGTCTCGCTCTGAGTCTCCCGAGTCAATACACTAAAAGTACCCCTCATATTCAGTCCGAATGATGGGGTTATAATACCCTGACCCAGGGTGGTGTAACGGCAGAAGCCTGTAGAGAGCATAGCTAGACGGAAGACCCGGTGTGCCACGGTCGGCCGCTCTTCAAGCCAACCCGGGGCCCGGCGGCCCGGCGGCCGCGCGCGACCATCGTCACTGCCGCGCGGCTGTCGTAGGCTAGTAGTGCCGTTTTGAGTAAAGCAGGCCAGTGTACTGATCCAAGTTAAAAGTTCCCTTCGATGACCCCTCAGGGCCACCCCTGACCGTCTGCGCCACGTAGGACCCCCAGGCTAACCGTTGAATGGTAGTGACAGTGAACTCAAAGATACCCCAATGGTACCCTACCTCGGAGTCCTCACGAACTTATCTAATAGTACCCCACCCCTTTCTGTAGTACCCCGTCTTATCGAGTCATCGTACCCTACACCGATTTTTCACCCCTCGCCCTTCAATTTCAACCACCCCCCTCAATTAGAACCATCCGGTTTAGTCCATAGGGCGGGGAGAGGATGGCATGCCAGGAGACGAGAGGTATGGCGGCGGACTCGGGAACTACATCCAACTGACGTGAGGCGATGAGGAGGGGGGCGGAGAAATAAGCACAACTGTCTCACAAGCACAAAGCATCACAAGCACAAAGCATGATAGGCATCTGATGTCACTGGGACAACGTTGCTGCGATCTTCGATAGACACTGAGAAAGTATATCATGGATAATGTAGAGACTAACAATTAGAAGATGGAGGATTCCTGTAGCTTCAACGCAAAGACGTTTAGTTCGTGTAAAAATTGATATGTTTTACAAAGTCAAGAATGGATTATAAACTTGTCCTTGATCAAACTGATACAGTTTTCGTCAGGCAAATCTGCAGGATTGATGATTGAATGCAAGAACACCTGCTACTTTTCAAGTTAGGAGGGATGGATCCCGCAGTGAATGGATCTTCTTCCAATGACGATGAGGTATCTGCTTCATCTCCCTAAATCGGCTGACTGACTCTTCAAGGATCCATTGCAATGGTGGAGATCATTCCTTCCTGTCCAAATCTTCCCGAAGAATGGTGAGAGGTCATTATGGAAGACTTCCAATGCAGCAGCGTCTGCCGGGGTTGCGTCGGATGAAAGAAATGGAACAAACAAGGACGAAGCCTGGTTGATGCAGGTGATCTCGAGCATTTATTTTATATAAGCAATGTCTTGATGAGAATCGCTGCAGAACTTACGGCGACTTCTAGAGCCTGAGAACCAAGTAGAGTCACATTTCTTTCACTAGCAAAAAACCAAATGCTGAAGCATGCTGTTTTACAGAAGCCACCGTCTTCGGCAACACAAAGCACCAAGTTATTTAACGTTGGGCTGCAGCTGCAAAGAGGCGAAACGGGAGCAATCATTATCCAAGACATCCTGCGGGGCGGATCTGCATTCAAGTGCGGAATGCTGCGGAAAGGGGACGAGATCGCACAAGTCGACTCTGTCGATGTAGAGAAGCGGTCGCTGAACTTTGTCAACGGAATGCTGCTCGGCGAGTGTGGCACAGCTGTAGATCTGACGGTCTATCGGCGGTCAAAAGGCCACCTGATCAAGGTGTCGCTCCTCCGCTCTCATGGCGAACACGACGCACACTTCTACCATCAAAGTCCAAGCAGACGCCCTCCTGACTTCCCTGCAAGCCTCTCCTCCTTCGACAGCCTGGGTACTGATAACCTTATCCGAGCGACAAAGATAGCTTGCGAAGGAGATGTCGACTCGTTTGCGAGGCTGGAGGAGCTTGTGCTTGCCGGTAGTGATTGAGCATCCTTCCATCCGTAGTGATTTATTGCGTGCAGGCTGCGACGTGAACGAAGTAGATCATGCTGGAAATTGTGCTTTACACTACGCGGCTATTGATGTCAATGTGCTGAACCTTCTTGTCAATCATGCAGCAGATGTAAATATGACAAACAAAGTGGGTGCTACTGCGCTTCATGAAGCTGCGGAGAAGGAATGTATTGAAGCATGTAAAGTTCTGTTGTGCTGCGAATGTCATGCAGATATCAGAGACAAGATGGGGATGACAGCTGAAGATCGGTGCAGAAGCATGTCCAAGATGAAAGCATTTCACCTACTCCGCTGCTTCCGGGAGCTGAGCGACAGAGGGTTTACACCTCAGGATGCCATCCGACAGATAGAGCTTGATCAAGAGCTGCACGATTCTCTCCATGCCTTGGGAGTGGATCAAAACGTCTCCTTGGTGGTGCAGCTGTTAGAGAATGGCGCCAACGTGAACGTGTTGAACCTCGAAAGCAATCTCCGTCCGTTGCATGTCGCAGTGACTAAGAACTCTTGGGCTGCGGTCCATGTACTGCTGGAATATGGAGCTGCCACTAACCTCACGCAAGCTGGAGAAAACAAGATGAACGCTGTAAGCTTGGCGTTGGTCAAGAGAAACTACGAGGAAGGTTGTACAGTCGATTTGCGTATCACAAACCCGCACGTTTTGAGTTGTTTGCTGATGCATGAAGTGGATGTTTGCGCAGAAATTTTCTTTTTGAAGGGCATGTCAACGCTCCTACACATTGCTGTGCTAAACAATGATCCATTAGCTGTCAAGCTTCTGCTAGCTGCGGGAGCTGATCCAGACCAACAAGATAAGGATGGCAGATCGGCGCTGGAATATGCTCAAGGGTAAGTAGTACCTGCGTATGCGTGTTCACTAATGACTTGTCCAACAGAAAAACTCACCTTTGCCAGGAGCCCATGTCTGATATGGTCGAGGTCTTCGCCAAGCACAAGCTGGATCTGGCGAGGGTGGAAGAAAAGAAAAACTCTTTCCTGCCTACAAGAGAATGGACGATAGATTTTCACGGACAGACGTACCTGGATGAACTGCTGGGCGAGGCTGCGATGAACGGAGACTGCTACGTTGCAATAGATCTCTGCAACCTTGGAGCGAACCCGAACGCACAGCTCGCGAGTTGGGAGCATGTTTACGCATTTGTGGAGACACCACTCAGCATGTGAGAGATCACCTACCTGCTTTCGTCCTTGACGTCCTGACAGAGCAGCTGCGAGGGGAAGCGAACGATTTGCCTCGCTTCTAATCAGGAGCTTTGAAGCTGATGTCTCCCTGCCAGGGTCTGAATGGGGCTGGGCGCCCATTCACGTAGCAGCATTTCATGGCAACGGTGAGGATAGCTGATGTGTGGGTTGTCGACTGATAGTGACAAAGTGAACATTCTACGCCTGCTCCTGCGGCATGGAGCACACGTAAATGCTCGGGTGTGCCGATCTAAGAGTGGAAGGACGGTTCCATACCTCGGATACACGTACAGGGGAAGTTGATGCTGCTCTCCGTTTGATAAGCTTCCGCAGGGCTGTAATGTTGGCAGCTGCATCGGAAGAAGTCTGGGCATTGGAGGTAACGCAAGTCAACGGTTCTCTTCTCTCCTGTCCTCAAACTGGGCAGGAACTTGTCCTCCAAGGTGCTGACCTGCGACTGCTGGGGGAGGACGGGAAAACTGTGAGCGACGTTGTGACGGAGCAGGTGAAAAATCCCCGTTCTCCTGCTTTTAGTGCTGACGCGGAAATCAGAAATCAGCCAACGTACAGCAGATGCGGAAGGTATGAGGCCCCCTGATATTGATCCTCTGCGTTGCTTTCCCCTCCTACCACCGTCCGGGCTCATAGATGGCCGCAGATGCTGCTAGGGGCACCAGTAACCTTCAAGATGTGAAGTGATCTCAAGAGTGGTTCATGATCCGTGAAGTCATTGTACAGTAAATCTGATCATTCAAACAATGCCAAAGCAAGCCCAGGAGCGAGCGAACTTGAAGCAAATCTCCGATATTAACACTTTAATGATGCATCTTTCGTACCTCGTTTTGTCATGATTATCTACTCAACCTTGTCACTGTTGTTGGTCCACAAAGCTTGGCATCCCACGTATGTTCTTTGATGACTTACTCACACTTGTACAGCTTGTAACAACTCGCGCAATTTTGTTCTGTCTATGTAATGGTTGTCCTTCTGCACAGTGATGTAAGACACAAAAGCGGTGCAAGTGGAGCCAACCTGGATGGAAGTTGCGACGAAGAAGCAGTCAACGTTGTCAACAAAGCTCTTGATGTTCTCGGCGCTCACACCAGACCCAAGGCAAAGAGGTGTCTCTCCGCAACCTGCCCGCATCTGAAGCACCTTGTCCATGTTCGGAGCGACACCGGACTCCGCACCGCTTGTAGTCACAACGTCCATGTAGGGGCTGGCGTATGCAGCCACATCCTTGAAATGTTCGGGAGGAACGGGTTTGCACAGCTTTGCGTGGTTCTTGGGGTTCTTGAACGCAGTGCCTCCGAAGTAGAGCCCGTCCCAACCGGAGCTCTGCCTCACCTGGTTGATCGCAGTTGCCTGCGGCTGGTCTGCTCGGTCGTGCTCGATGCACGCGTTGTCGGCCCAGTACGCGTCTATCTTAATGCCTTCACGGGAAAGACGACCAAGGATGGGAAAGGCGTCAGCTCCGTTGAGCGTGTGAAAGTTGACGCCGAGGAAGATGTTAGGGAATTGTCCTCGCACCTGCCTCACAATCGGCAGCATCTCTGGGTAGTCAAAGTCGTGATTGACAAGAAAGACGCCGGTAGCTCCCTCGTCGAGCACCAGCTGAATGTTTTCCGTCACTTGTTCTTTCGTGAGAGCATGCACCACAACAAAGACAATGGGCGAACTCATTGCCGTATGCCCTGAGTTCCTGCACGCTGCACATCACAAACCAAGTGAATCGTGCGCAGCTCTCACTTGAGGCGCGATGCTATGTATTCCTTGAATGACGTTCTTGTCAGCTTTGCTCTCCTGCCGTTCATCATCAGACTCGTCATCAACCACTGAGCTCCAAGGCAGCGGCTCACTGCGACGCGGCGCTGTTAGCAATGGCAGCGACGTCACTCATGGCTTGGAAGAGAGCAGCATTTCGCAGCGAATCATCTGTTCTTCCCTCCGACAGTGTTCGCGTTTCACCCGTTGCTGCTTTGAATCCACACAACTAGAACCCCAAGATTCAAACTTAACGATGAGAGACGGACAGCAGGAGACAAGAACAAGACCACACCAGGAAATCGTAACTCGATCACACAAGCTACGAGCACACAACAAGCGTGGATCAATCAGGCAATGCGCTGGTTTGCCCTCACCTCGGTGATGTTTTCATCGTGATCCATGTCACCGCCGGCATCAAGACCTTCCAATCTCCGATCAACTTCTGCCATCCTCAATGTCTGCACATCCATGTGAGAATCAGATAGAACAAGGCAACAGTGGTATGATCAAGGTTCAGTTCTTGTCTCTCACATGACCATCTAAGCTGCTGCACATATCGAGCTCGCTACTTCACAACGTGACAACGAGCAGACAAGAGAGTAAAAGGTGCAGAAAGAAAAATCAGAGAATCACTTGTATGTTATAACCGCTGAACAAAACCCAGAGAATCACTTGTATGTTATAACCGCTGAACAAAACCCAGAGAATCACTTGTATGTTATAACCGCTGAACAAAACCCAGAGAATCACTTGTATGTTATAACCGCTGAACAAAAGCAAAAAGCATATGACAAGCCCTCCTTCTGATCGACTGATATGGTGTCTAAATCGAACGACACATCCCCTGCATGCGATAGATTGCTCAAACATCTCTGCTCTGAACTCATCGTTAGGTCGCCAACGAAGCTATGTGCCGCCCGCGAAAACGTCTAGGCAACTTTTTTGGTCGTGAATGTATCGCACACTGTTTCATGTTCCCCCAACACCATGACTTTGCAGTCCCGGCAAGGGAGCAAACACCCTTTGCATTACACCCTCCCCCTCGCAGTCATGATCCCATACGCTTCCAAAGCTTCCCTTCAATTCCCTTGATCTCTCACCAACTTGATCTCCCTTGTAACCGAATTACTCGATTCAACTTTGGGCCCTCCGCCCTTGCTATTCCACTTCACACCCATGCTTTCACAAGCATTCCCCCATCCTCACTATCATCCTCACTCTATCCTTGACCATAAATCAACATCATTTCAAGCTTCGCGTCCTTGATCTCTCGCGATGCTCATCCACTTTCCCTCCTCTCCTGCAATCGTCACCCCTGCACTCCTCACACTTCTTCTCAACCTTGTCTTCCTGCATCTGTCTTCTCAACCTTGTCTTCCTGCATCTTTCTTCCAATCTTGTCTCATGTGAACCTGTGTCTTGTCTTTTGTCATCTTCGTCTCCTCTCAACCATGTTGCTACCTTCCCACCTTCGCCTCGCCTACTCTTTCCTTGCCCGCACACATGGAGCCGTACACAGCCGCTGCTTAGGACGGGTATGGGATCTCTCCATAGCAGGTGGGTGTAGTACACTGTTTGAAACACATTTTGCAAATGGTCCTGAGTAAATTATTTTATTCATCTATACATTTCAAATTATATTTCAAATATCCGACATCAGAACACTCCCGTTGGACATGTAATTGACCCACCCCGGTCTCAGCCACCCCTTCAAATTAGAGGCTGAGCAGGGATTGGAGGAGGTAGGGTGATCATGCTGACATGGCTCAGTACCCGTACATTCAACTAGGGTACGGGGGGGTACATGAAAGGCAGAGGTTTGAGGTGGAGCTAGAGGGGTAGCACCAATTCCAAAGGGCCAGATGTGCAGCGGACGGGTGGGGTGGTATGAAATCACCAAGGTAAGAGGATCTGCGTTTCGACTGTTGTCTGACTTATGAAAACAGCTCTCTACAGCACTACCCTCACCCCACTGCCCCCATCACATTCGGTGGACGTCCCGACTGCCGGGATAATGAGCAAAGGGAGGGAAGAGGAATGGGAGTTTTCGGAGTGGAGGAGAGGAGAGCAGGAGTGGGCAGCAGAAGGAGAAAGAAGGAAAGGATGCGATGATGTCGAGGAGATGATACGGTGATGTCGAGGAGAAAATATGATGATGTCGAGGAGAGACTGGCAAGATTTAGAATCCAAACCAATAGCGGATGAAAGACATGTACGATAAGGTCAGAGACGATGCCTGTCAATTCCGCTCGAAGGTTGAGAAGATGAAGATGCGGGTCTGAAATAGTCCGAGAAGCATTCGATGAAGCAGACTGACAACGAGATCACACAGACAGAAATTCTATTTGAGGGTGGAAAATGAGGGAAGGAGGGAGGAAGAAGGGCGACCTGGTCCATGTGAACCAGCTCGTGTGCCAGTCCCCTGATGTTCTGACGAGCAACTTTGGAGCAGGAGGAGTGGAACGGATGTCGAACTTCCTTGGCCTGAGCTGAGCCACCGCTATAAGGTTTGTGATGGAAGTAGCGATCAGGAGCGAAGAGGAGGGGCAGAGGGAAGAGAATGAAGTGCGAATTACGACTTCCGGCAAGGTTCACAACTATTTGCGGTATGCAACAACGCTGTTGAATGAGAAGAAGATCAATACGATCAAGCTATCAGCTGCTGGAAGCGCCATCAATAAGTGCATCTCTGTTGTCGAGATCCTCAAGCGCCAAGTCCCACAGCTCCATCAATGGAACTTGGTCGACTCGCGAGAGGTGGCAAGGAAGAAAGTTGAGAGGAGGTGACCGATGGTGTTCAGGTCCCCAGCAACAAGAACGGACTGTATGGAACAAGCAGCAGGCATGTCTCTTGTCTCTCCGTCGTTCTTTCCAGATCCTCAAACATTTACCCGCAAACCGACGAGCACGGCTATCAGGCTCCCCAGAGCCAGTAGCTCCTTCTTCTCCTCCTCTCGATCCTTATCCTTCTCCTCTTGTTGTTGATCCTGAACCTCTCACCCCTCCTACTGCTCGTCATCGAAGCGACTACACAAGCGTGTCTTGTGCGAGCTCGAACACTTGGGGGGAAGGTTTCAACCCTGCCGCATGTGAGTGAGGCAGTCGCTGTCTCTTGTTCGCTTACCGTAAGTCCGCGAGACGGTTGAAGTAATTCTTTCTAGAGCCTGAAGAGCTGGTAGGAATGTGAGATTCTTCTTCTTCACCTCTCCATCGTGGCTGCTACTATCCCCCTTCCTCCTTCCTCCCCCCCTCCCCATCCTTCTCCCCGTTCGATTACCTGATGCGCTTCCAAACTGTCGCAATAGAGTTTCGAGCCTGAGACTTTGACTTCAGACATACCCCAGCTATGGCTCAACTCAACTCGCCTCTTGTTCATCATGTTGGCTCCTTGAAGTTGACCCTCCAGCTCCTGCACCCGCTTGTAGAGCGCCATCAGCTTCGCTGCGCCTGCGGTTGGCTGTAGTGAGCGCAAGGCGGTCCTCCTGTCCAACCCGATCCAAACTCCTCCTTTCTCGGTCTACATTCCTCCTCTCCCTTCTTGATCAGTTTGTCTTGCTCACATCAGGGCTCTACCTGCTCCGCTCTCCGAAGAGACTTGCATCATCGCCTCCTCCACGATGCCCGCGGCAGTGAGCGTAGCCCTCTCCTGCTCCTCGAAAGCATCCTCCAGCTTCTTCAACCGCCCAAGGAGGAGCTGCTTCTCTCCGAGGCTCTGAGACAGCTGGCTCTGAGATAGCGTGTGAGAAGACGAGCAGGTGGGTGGACAAGACCTCGAGGACGGCGACTCGATTGCTCAGCACAAGGTTGCTCTCCTTGCTGTCCTTGAGCTCTCTTCGCACTTCAGCAAGCATCTCATGCTTGACGTTCATCTGCCCTGCTGTCAAAGTCGTGACGTCATCGACCAGCACCGGGTCACCTCCTCCACCAGGCTCTCATGCTTGCTCTCCTACATGCAACTCGCGTCACTTCTCTGCCTCGTCCCTCCTCCAGCCCTCACGTTCACGATCTTCTTCCACATCCTCAAAAATCGCCCGCGCCGCAATGCGACGATCTTCTTGACGCACCTTGACAGTTGTGAAAACTAGAGCGACGCCCCTTGGACTCACCTCAGCGATCGCTTCAGAGACAGCAGGTGCCTCGCATACCCCACCGACCAGCGTTCGAAAGCTTCGAAGACGACGCTCCTCAGATGCCGAAACGCCAGCGCTCTGCAAGTTTGTGACATGCAAGGACAAAGAGTGTGACTCGGGACCTGACAGAGCCAAACTTGTATCGGCAGTGATACCACTGACCCATGATCGCCTTCAGCTTCGTTCTCTCAGCTCTGATCTGATCTCAAAACAAGTCACTTTGATCCCCACACCCACAGCATCGACTTGTAACTTCGTCCCCTTCCGCAGCCGAAATCTGGATGACTTGTCATGGCAGTCGCACATGATAGACTTACTTGGCCAGTCGGCAGTTGCCACTCCAACGCCGAAACATCTTGTGAAACCGACCCTTGTCTGCAGAGAAAATAAAGAGCCTGCGAGGTTCATCATGACGATTGAACAACGTCCAAGATTCTCAGACTTGATGTGCTGACGTCGCTTGATAAAAAGCTTCCACTCGTGAAAGTATGCTTCACTGAATTGCTTGAATATTCCGCTGAAAATGTACTAGAGCAGCGTCAGAGGACTTCAAGGAAGTTGGTGCTGATAGACCCGAAATTTCGACAGCAAATTTCTGCGGGAGAACATTAGAATTTCATCTGAGGTTTGCTCTCTTGCCTGTTGTGTGTTGGAACCATCCTCCATTGCACCAGGACTTTTCTCAGGAACTTGTCTGTGGGCAAGTCAGCAAGAAGCAGAGGCGGCGCTTCGAGGCACAGCTCGACCACGCTAGTCGTGTTAGTCTCACTCGGGCGATGCGAGAGGGCCTTGGCATGCTTCCTCGCCTTCAGTCTCGCCTGGCTGGTAGAGACACGCCAGCGCTTGAAGGCGACGAGCTTGACGAGGACGACATGCTTCAAGTAGATCCTCTCATAGCAGCGAGCGAGGACGCGCCTCCGACGAGCCAACCTCGTCCATGCATGCAAGCAGGTCTGCAGAATGAGCTTCGTGCGAACACGGAAATCTACTTCCATCAAGGACGTGAGCTTGTTCCGTAATTTGCTCTTCATCTCGATCACGTATCGACCATGCTGTAGCACGTGTTGCCCCCTGTCGAGCTGCTCGCCGAAGAGAATGCTCTCAGGCGAGATGTCATGCAGGTTTTGTCCGGTCAGACGAGCGACAACGATAAGAGCCTGATTCATGTAGCTCTCCGATTTGAGACGAAGCTCCGTCTCCGCCCTGACCTGGTCCACCAGCTTGTCCCTGCCACCATGTCAAGAACATGCGCGCCCGTCCAAGTCGACCTTCTCTCTGTGATCTGACGGATCTGCATGGAGCTCTGGAGCTGAGCGAACAGACGTCAGGACGTACTCTACGGGTCGGGTCTTGACTTGCCTGAAGTCGCTCGTACTGGTCGCAGAGCTCGTTCAGCTGACCTCGCGCCGCGTTCAGTGCCTCCTCGTAGTTGCTGCGCACCTTGTTCAACTCTTCCTCAAAGTTCTCTTTCAGCATCTGATAACTTGACGTGTCCACTGCCGCGCTCCTCGCGGGCATGCCACTTCCCTGCATGGTCTCCTGCGCACTGACATCTGGACCTCGCACGTCCAAGAAAGCAAGAGCTGTGTCCACATTGCGCTTGGCGTCATCAGCGACGCGATGATACTGCTGGAGGATCTCTGCTGTCCTCTGCTGCCTCTGCCTCGACTCCTCGGAGAGGCCTTGCGCCTCTGTGACTGCAGCGTGCATGCCCCGCGCTATCCCTGGACCTCTGTCCTCTGTGAATCTCTTCAACCCTTCCCAACTCTTCACTTCCTGCTGCTGCTGCTGTACATCCTCCTCCTCCTGCCCGTGCTCGCGTCCTTGCACGTACCCCCTAGCTAGAGCCAGAGAGAGTCGAGCCCGGGTCTCCTCGCTTTTGACGCCGGAGGTTTGACAAGTTCACTGCAACGGCTAAAAACCGGCGGAAGAGAAAGGAAGGAGGTAAACCAGGACAAGTATAAGTGCGAAGGAGAGAAGAGAGGGATGAAGAAGAAGGAGAGAAGAGAGGGATGAGGAAGAAGGAGAGAAGAGAGGGATGAAGAAGAAGGAGAGAAGAGAGGGATGAAGAAGAAGGAGAGAAGAGAGGGATGAAGAAGAAGGAGAGAAGAGAGGGATGAAGAAGAAGGAGAGAAGAGAGGGATGAAGAAGAAGGAGAGAAGAGAGGGATGAGGAAGAAGGAGAGAAGAGAGGGATGAAGGAGGAGGAGAGAAGAGAGGGATGAAGAAGAAGGACAGAAGAGAGGGATGAAGAAGAAGGACAGAAGAGAGGGATGAAGAAGAAGGAGAGAAGAGAGGGATGAAGAAGGAGAGAAGAGAGGGATGTAGAAGAAGGAGAGAAGAGAGGGATGAAGGAGATCAACTTGAGTGTAAGAAGATGAGAATCACGCTAGGAGAGACAAGGTCAGTAGAAAGTGAGGCAGCTCAAAGCTTTAGATCGAGACAGAATTATATGTAGCAATCTGTATTCTTTGTGTAAGATAGTGAGGTACAGTTTGAAGAATTTTACTTGCAGCATCGTTTGTTGCCTAATGCACAAGATGTAGTCAGTTTGGAGTTGTTACTTGTCATTCCAATGCTAGAGGAAGATCCTGACTTTGATGGTTTCCTGTAATACGTGACATCCTTATTCAAATATCTACCTGTCATAGAATACTGAAATTTGCTCCGGTTTGTCCTTCTTTTTCAGTCAATGAAATTTCCACTTGTGATGATATACTACAATTTCTCTGTTATAGAACACCTATATTTCTGATGATGAAACATACGTAAAATGTGATGTCTTTATACAGAATTCTGCAGATCACGACATATTTACATTTCTATTGGTGATACAAGACTTAGATTTCTATTAGCAATAACGGACTTCAAATTTCATTTCAGCCAAGTTGACCAAGTAGTCCCCGCAGTCTACCATTACCTTCCGATTTTCTTGCGGAACTTGATGGCAGCCAAGGAGGATGCGGTTGCTACAGTGAACGAAGTCTTCTTGCGCTGAGAGGACGCTGGGAGCGTCCTGCGCGACTGAGTCCTCGCCATCCTAGACCCTTTTGATCTCGATCGAAACACTTCCAGCAGCTCCCTCACAAGCCCCGACCGCAGCCCCCGAAAGAGCAGCAGCCGCATCCTCGACCTCTTCACGCGTCGCAGATCACGCAGCACATCTGCCTCCTCCTTGTTGTAGTCAGACGCGTCGATCGCTGACTTCTTCTCGTCCCACAAGAGCTCGTCCGCAGCTTGCACTGTTCGCAGAGCGAGAGAGGAGCGGGGCTGTCCCGTCCACTCCTCGATCGTCTCCATGCCGAGGGAGAGGGTCTGAAGGAGTGAGTCCCAGTCAGATCCCAGCGAGAGGATGTAGGAGAGCATCTCGTTGGAAAAGGCAGCCGGTTGAGCGAGCATCATCAAGCCGCGACGAAACGTGAGTGTGAGCTGCTGGTCGACGTGCTGGGGAATGCTTCCCCACCGCACTTGTCGGGAGGTCTTGACTTTATCAAGGAGAGCGTGGGTCAGGCGATCGATCTCGTGCTTCCACGTTATCTGGTCGGCGTTGAACTTCTTTTTTATTCTGATGGCCTTGAGCTACAAGGCTCGGGTTAGCACAACCTCTCGTTTGCCAAACACCACAGCCCTCACCTCTGACTCCATCTGCGCGATCTGCTCGTTCAACTTTACAAGCTCGTTCGATCGCGCCAGCATTCCTCGAACTTGGATGAACTGCCTTGTCGGGAACACAACCCTCACAATGCTGTCCGGATCCTCGAACTCATCTCCCCACTCGTCTACCTCTTGTTTGGTTTTCTCTGTGTCCTGTGCAGTCTTGGCAGGAGGCTCCACGTGTGTCTCGCTCGGCTGACTCTCTGCATGTTCATGACTGTGAGATTGTGAGAAGAATTTCAGAGGAGACGCCACGGACGGGTCTGGAGTCAAGGGAGATTCCAAGTCCGACAGGTCCTGCGGGAAGGCAGCGCTATCTCCGAGACATCGCATCTTCTCCTTAATCTCCTCCTTGACCTTCTCATAGTTTGGAACAATGTTGCTGATGATGGACAGATGACTCAGCGTACTCTTCAGCGCCGCCATTTTCTGTGATAATATCACAATCATCATCGGCCCGAAGTTGACAAAAAATAGAACAGCTCACCTCCGCGTTGACGTTCATACTTTGATATTTGATAACACGTATGGACAGGCAAACTTTATTCTCGTTTGCTGTTTACCCGCCAACTACTGCCAGGGGGGTCTTTGCGCGTTATCAGGCCCCATGTTAGCCCTCTCTCCTCTCTCAACTTTCAGTTTGATATCTGAATGTTTCAGGCGCTTGTCTTACGGTCCTCTCTCCTCTCTCAACTTTCAGTTTGATATCTGAATGTTTCAGGCGCTTGTCTGTGTCGTCTTGGTCTTTGTCTTTGTTTTCGTCTTCCTCCTCCCTTGTACGCGCGCGCAGGCTCGGATGCACCTGATCCACCCTGGCGGTCGGACCATGAACAACGGCCGGGCTAGCGGAAGTTCGACCCGGAGTCGGCCCGCCTGGCAGGTCTCCGGTTTAGTGATACCGGACTTCCGACCTAAAGTATTCCCGCCAACATTTTTTAGTGACCCCTACCTGCATCGACCACCAACCTTGCATACCCCACCTCCTGTTTGACCTCTATCTGTGGTAGCCTCTGGGGGTACCTTATACCCACCCCACCCCCGTCAGTCCTCTTCTGTTGGTGCGGCCCCTCTTGTTGTGGGTCGTGACTCAGTTGAAAGCGCGCCGGCGGGAAAAACACGGGGAGGGTGACTAGGGGTGGGGTGGTGGGTTGATGGACGGGTACGTCCCTGACAGATCGGTACCGGTAGTGTTGTAGAAGGGGGTAGGTCATGGTCGAATAGGGTGGGGGAGGGAAAAAAGGGGTGGGGGCAAAGTCGGAAGTGCTACAAAAAGCAAGAGAGCGCGAGAAAGCGCGAGGAGAACGCGGGAGTAAGACGATCAAGAAAGAGACGCTGATAGCAAATCAATACCAGCGACACTTGTTTCTCCATCAGAGTAGAGAGCATGAGAACCAAGACCTGTCCTTGTGTGAAATCGATAGCGAAACTTGCAGATAATCGATTTGAGAGCACGTTGATAATGAAAGAGAAGCAAAAACCTTGTAAGTAGAAGACAAGATAGCCACAAAGAGAGCTTCAAACTATCAACTCATGCATACTAAGATCAGAAATTGCCAAGCATACCTTTGAATCGACCGATGAATTGACATTCTTCCTTGCAGATGTCGGTTGTAAACTACGAAGATCCCGATCTTTCCTTCCTTGCATTCGAAGACTCCCATGTTTTTGGCCTGCCAATCCTTGAGTCTCTTGAGAGAGATGACAGCCAGACAGAGTTGGAATGCTCGCCGCAAGATTTCGATTGGGGATGCACAGCAAGGGCATCGGACAAAGACCCCCGGGAGAACAACCGGGTATCATCCGAGCAAGGCTACAAATACATCGAGACATATGCTTCAATCTTCTCCGCTGTTTCCTCATGCAAGGATGATTGCGAATCGATTTCGCTGGGAATGCCAACCTTTTCCTTGCCGCCACCGCCATCGCCGTCTCCAGCGAAGAAGCGAGGTAGGATGGTGAAGCTTTCTAGCGGCATCACACGGATCTGTGGAAACAAAATCTTGGAGCACATCTCGCCGGATGAAGCGAAGAAGAGGAAGCTAAACTGCTTCTAGAGATCTACAAAGCGAGCTGAATGTGCTGCTTTAAGACAATTTTCAGTAAACATTTCTTGATCGCTGTTGTAATTTGTATTGACACTGTGGCCAGTGATCCACATGAATTCATGACCATCTCCTGATAATCGCCAATATTTTCATCTTCTTTCTCTCCATCAGTCATCATCATCACCACCACCACCACCATCACCACTGGCATCGTCGTCGTCTGATCCTTCGCCTGGCCCGGTTTCAACACTGTCGGCGTCACGAGTCCTTGCAGTGCACTGCCGCAAGTTTCACAGCGGCCGAAAATATTGACTGAAACATTTGGAGGACAGCGATAATCTTATACTTTAAAGGCCATTTGCATCACCATATGGGTACAAAGGCAGCAAAACCGGTTTGACCAGGCCCAACGGGTATCAAATGGTCAAGGTTGCAATCAGGAAGCCCGAGGAGGAGGAGAAGGAGGAGGCCGAGAAAGCGAGGGGAAGGAGGAGGAAGATGATGTGGATGTTGGTTTACTGTCTCTTCCTCTCTTTGATCACTTCAAGCTCTCTCCTCCTCTACCCCATCGAGGAATATCGGGACCAACTGGCTCTCACTCGCCTCACCGTCGACCAGGAGCCGACGCCTCTCCTTCCCTTCCATCACGACCTGCTCAACATCTCCTCGGTGGACGATATGTGGCGTTGGTTCATCAGCGTTCTCCCTCATCTCATCAACATTCCCTCCTTGAACTCCACCGTCGCTCTTGCCAAGCCCTCCAGGCTCATGCTCCAGAGCCCGCGGCTGCGACAAGTGAGGGTAGCCAAGCAAGCATGCGACGTTCCTAGTAGGATGTCTGAGCATGCGACTGCTCCCGACGTTGCCGTGAATGTCCAAGCGAAAGAGGACGAATGCATAGGTGACGTCGCAGGCGGAGCTGTCGACAGGTCCCCGTGGAGGGGAGTTAGCTGGAATGGCTCCCACGTGCAAGAACAAGTCCTGCTGTACAGATCAGCATCCGAGCTCCTCACGCACTCCTTCACTTCCATGCAGTCATCGTCCTCCACCTCGTATGAGGGCGGAGGGTTCGTGATCGACTTGCCTAGGGAGCAAACGGAGAAGGTCGTCACGTCTGTGTTGACTGGGCTGCGAGAGATCGGATGGGTGGACGATAAGTCCAAGGCGATCTTTCTGAGCTGGACTGTCTACGATATGCTGGAAAATGTCGCCTCCTCCAACCTCATCCTCTTCGAGCTGAGGGAGAGCGGGAGCGTCCGGGTCGTCACGTCCTACCGAAGCACCAAGGTCATAGGGCTGTCATCCTTCATCACAAGAGAAGTGGCTGTGCTGACGATGAGAGACCGTGCGGCTGTCGTTGTTGACCTCCTTCTCCTCCTGGTCACGCTTGTGTCCCTCCTTTCCCTATCTGTGTGGATGTTGAGATCTGCGGGAAGAGAGACTGTTTCCAAGCACGGCATCGACGTCGTCATCGTTTTTCTTCTCATCACGATGTTGGGATTCAAGATTGCAAAGTGGATCTCATGTGAGAGATTGCTGAGTGGCAAACAGGACTGGATGGACTTTGAATATCTTGGTTGGGTTGACAAACAGATCAGAAACTTCTTAAGCTTGGTTGTAATCTTTTCGTGGTTGAGAGGGCTGGAGTACCTCAAAGAATTCAGCAGTCACATCGATTACATCTCCAATGCCTTTATCTTGTGCAAGTCAAACATGATCTCCATGAGTATCTTGCTCCTGATCCTGCTCTTTGGGTTTGCCACGGCATTTCACGTGTCTTTCGGGACCATCGCCCCCGAGTACAAGCACATCTTCGATTCCTTT